TTTAAAACTAACAACACCATTTTTAACACTTTTCAGCTAAAAGACAAATGCCATCTCCACAGACAGTCTCCAAAAAACTCAAGAATGAAATCCCAACCAGCAGTCCTAACTATAAATGTCAACTAAATGAATTCTGTCAAAAGTTCCACCTTCCTGTCCCCACATACGAGACTACAAACAATGGAAATGGTTTCATTACAAAGATAATATACAACAAGAAAGAATATACATCGAGTGCGCCTCAAGCTACCAAGCGAGATGCAGAGCTGAATGCTGCACAGTTAGTTTTGAGTAAAGTTAACCAAGCACCTCCACCAAGTGCTCCTATCAAAGGACCTGTAGGATATCCTAATTTTATAGCCGCAATAAATAATCCTATGGGGTCTGGTACYGCAACCGTAACAAGTGGTGAGTTTGTTTTTTTTATTTGATGTTTCAGTGACAGGATCTGGACTTGTACCAGATAATTAATTTATTTAAGTGAAATTTAACATGACAAAAATAAACAAGACTGTACTGTGGTCTTTGATAAGTTATTGCAATGCAAAGTTGAGAGGCTTAGACGCCTTTTCTCTTATTAAGACAAACTGTCAATCTACTTGGTTATTCTGTTACGTACTAAATACACCTAAATGTGTTTATACAACTGACAATAATTTTCCACAGGCTTCCCATGAGTGATAAATAATAACAAATAGTAAATAATAGGGTTATATAAAGCTGTTTATAAATGAATCATTTTAGTTGTCAACAGCAATCCTTTTCCTATGTGATAAATAAATAAAAATTTGTCTAGTCCATCAGTTGACTTACTAAATGGTCAGCTGTTTCCTAAGAACTCTTTCTGTCAGTCAATTCAATCAGATGACCTGYCAATCAATTTTTGGTAAGTCTCTTAGTCAGTTTTTATGTCGAATAATTAACCAATTATGCTTAGATATTCTCATGCTAATAATTCTATCTTGATACCTGATTATAGAAACACAAACACAGCTCAATGCAACTACCATACCTATACGCTCAATACAAGACCTGAGTGGTAAAAACATTACTCCYGTCATCTCGTATAAGAACAAACTCCAAGAAGTCTGCCAAAAACAAAGAATCAACCTTCCTGTCTACAAGAGCAGCAAAGATGGCCATCTTCATTGTTGTGAACTGATTGTACAAGGTCAAACTTACAATGCYACAGGATGCAAAACTAAAAAGGGAGCAGAACAGAGTGCAGCCAGAGTGGCCTTGGAAGCACTTGGTCTTTTAGAGAAATAATTTTGTATGTTTGTATGTGTGTAACGATATAAATATTTATCTAAGTCCAGTTGTACCTGATATAGTTTTCCTTGTTTTTACTTTAGAACTTATCAAGCATGACATTGACATTCAATGTTTTTATCTACAGTAGTCTCAGAACGTTTCAGTGTCTATTTACAAATTCAAACTGAAGTAAAAAATGCTTGTCACACAGGGGAACCAATGWAACATAAGAATAGTAGATATATCAGACAAAACTATGACATTGTTSTTTAGTTTGTCAACCAAATAGACGGTGGCAGCATTTTGTTGAAAAGTTCAAGCTGAAATAATAAGAGAGATTTTTTTAGATGGTTATGATCCTTGTGATATTGGGTACCCTGTGTTATAGAACAGCATAGTTTATGTTGGGTTTCCTGTGTTACAATTTTTTTAAGCTACTTTTCAATGGAGTCGAGTGATGTCAGTTATACATTAATTTGTCCAGCTTTTTTTATAAGCTTAATATTATGGCTTTTGTTATTACCGTCGTAGTATGGTGGTTCTTACACACTAAAAGTGTTCACACAATACTCGGAAACTAATATGAATTGTCTCGTGGTATTTATTGTCAATTTATGATATTAGAAATACACTGTTAAATGCCATATATACCTAGCAATTATTTTCATATGGTATTGAAAATTTGACAGTCTGAGACATCACATGAAGTTCTTTCACAGAATCAATTCCCTGCTAGCAGAGTCCCTTTCGTCAGGAACTACAACGAGAGAGACACTGTAGGTAGGGAAATCAAAAAACATTGTGAAGTAGAATTATTATCATAAGCTGGGACTGTCGATGGTGCAGTGTATTTTCATTATTAGCTGTACAACTGGATTCTCTATGGTATTCTTGCTAAACAAAGTATAGCTTAATTTGATTTTTCACTTGTTTTATTTCACTATTAAAGTTATAGTAAATGGTATAAATTGCATATCGGGTTTTTTAAACAATCACTCTTATACTTTTATTAGACTGAAGGCGTTAAATCCGTGAACAAAGACTGGCTTTTAAAGTGTGATAGTAAAATATACGCAAAAGAAAACCATGTAATTAGAGCGTACTAATTAATGTGTAGGTGTATTAATGTATAATCTATTTCACGGGTTCCTTGACTTCACACTAAGTCCGTGAAACAAAACTTKATATTTAGAGTATGATTGTCAAATTGAGAAAACCATGCAATTAGAGTATACTGAGGTGTATTAGTGTAATATACAGTATTTCAMGGGTTTCTTGACCCCAAACACGTGAAACAAAGCCTGACTGTTAAAATTGTAGTACTCAAATGTACACAAAAGAAAACCAAATTTTAAAATTACCTATTTCACGAGTTCTCTTTGCTGTATTAAACATAGATATTTCTTCTTAGCTACAATTGACTGAAGATAATAAAGTTGATACCGTGAACTAGCTAGTAGACTACTAGAGTTACTAGTTTTGAGTGAACGCACAAACTATCCTTGAAAGTGTACTAGTCCGTGTCCTTTTTGTGGAACTCATTAAATGGTTGTCACGGAAAAATAGTGATTCTAAGGATATTATSCTTCACTTTCAGATTTAGTGCAATTTTTTTACATTCACAGAATTAATTAAATATTTCGCTTGTTTATATTTCTTAAAAGTTATTTAAGTTATTACTAAACGTTATCGTACCAAAACACGTTTTTAAACGTACGTTAATCCCGCTATCGTTATTATTATAACCACTTTATGATCATCATTATCACCAGGAACTATATTGATGTTAATGCATAGACGTCCTTTTTGAAGTTATGCTGCATGYTTGACATCCAAAGTGGAATATTGAGTGTTATGCATATATGATATGTCAGTATAGTTAGTCACTGATGATTTGTCGCGTGCGCTTTCTATCGCTTTCTTTGATCAAACGTTCGATTTGACGTACATCCAATCAATGTGATAACCCAACAAATTGTCGTTTTTGTTGGTTATCAGCGTTTGAGGAGAAAAACAATGAGTATGTAATAACTGTACGATGTGTGATAATGAAATATTCAATTCTCATTATCAGCTTATCCGAAAACACGTTAGAATTCCCCACTATATATGTAATCAATTTTCATTTATTTCTGTTTATTTTTTGGGAATTTTCTTGTCATTTTTTTTAGAGCACTTAAATGGTTTCAMCAAATCTAGCACTTGAATGGCTTTTCGAACTCGGCATTTTATTGGTTTTACGATAATCTCTTCTTTAATCTGATTACTCCTTTGATTGAATTTGCCATATTCATACATTTTATTTTGGGAAATTTTTTGCTTTCATTAGTGTATTATGAAGATTTAAACGTTTTTTTCACCCTTAAAATTGAAAAGATTTTCGCGCGCTTGATTGGCTTCCTCGAAACGCCGTTGACCGTTATTTTAAGTCAACCGGCGCACTTAATTGGTGTTTTTCCTGTGAAAGACATCACGATGTGTTAGGCGCTTAGTCGGCTGAGGCGAGAGTATTAATCAGATGCTAACGGATAAAATATCTGTAAAAAAAGAACACTCATAAAAAAAACTACAAATATTTAGCGCCGCTATGCGATAGAGATCGCGGTACATCCTTCCCTCTTTTTGCCCACATATTTGCGTAACATTTTAGCATTTTCCACAATCAAATCCGATTAACTTCTTTTATCATTGATCTTGACAAATAAAACCAACATTTCAGTTGTGGGTGAAGGCCATTAGTCTATTGGTTATGGTCTTCCTGTGGTGGAATTAACGGCGCCCTTAAAACCCACCGACCGGTCGGGCAACGCGTGAATCGTGGGCATACGCTTCCTTGTAATTGCTTCAATGCAATCAGTCCAAAGCAACTTAATGTAGTTTTAGCAAAGCCGATGTCAGGAACTAGATCKTATGTTTGCTGTAGGCGTGGGCGATTGATGAAGACGCTGGGGCTGTTCTAGATTGTATTGACAATTGCTAAATGACATAGTACCACCAAGGAGACGGATGATAACTTCTGGAATAATAGAAATATATTTTGTTTTTGTTTACTCAATCAATCT